CTGCTGGCTGCTGCTCTCCGTGCAGGGATCAGCGAGGGCGGCTGCCCTCCCCTCTGCACCAGCTCGGACCACATTTGGAGGAGAAAGCGACTGGGAGCAGACAGTGTAGAGTGACCAAGGGCCAACCACGCCTGGCTGACCCGATCACCTTTGGCAATAACTGGCTCTGTGGATGAGGGGAGGGCAGGGAATGTCATTTACCTTGAATTTAGCAAAGACGTTGCTGTCTCCCATAATGCTCTTCTATCCAAGTTAGGATGTTACGGTCTGGATGGGGAACAACCAGATGGGTAAAAAACTGTTAGGGTGGTTGTTGGGCTTAGAGGGGGCTGGTTAATGGGTCATCTCTACCTGGCAGCTGGTAACAAGGGGAGCACTGCATGGACCTGGCCTGGGATGAAGTGATGGAGAGCTCCATCACTGGGTTTGCAGATGATGGCAAACAGGGACTAGTCGGTGTGGTTGTGGGCAGGGCTGCCATCCTGAGGGACCCGGACAGGGTAGAGGAACGGGCTGTGAAATTCAACAAAAAGTCCTGCACTTGGGTGCCAGGGAGCAGCGAGGGCGGGCTGCTCCCTGAGGAACGGGGTGGAGGAGCGCAGCACCATGGCTGGCAGCAGGGCTGCACCAGGGCCTGCCCCACACGTGGCAAACATCATCTGGGGCAGCCGAGAGGCCACATCACCCAGCAGGCTTGTGGCGACAGGCAGGGCTGAGGTCAGGCAGGGACATCAATCTGCAGATCAGGATCAGGCCTGGTGAGGGGAACCGGGGTCAGACGCAGCTCCGGGATGGCTGCAGGGCCCTGGGGGACGTCAGCCTGCAGGTGTGGCCAGGCTCAGCGTGGCCCATGGCCAGCCAGGCAGGGCTGTGAGGAGATGGAGACCAATGTCCTGAAGCATCGCTGGGGCAGGGACGGATGGCTCCAGGCTGGGCAGAAATGGTGTCCTGGGCCATGGGTGGGGGGAGCCCTGGTGACAGGGGGTCAGGGCCTGTTGGTGCTCTTGGGGCCCAGTCCCTGGAAAGGAGCCACCCCTGTGCTGGTACAGACTGGGACCAACTGCCTGGGGAGCAGGTCTTGGGGAATGGCCCTGGGGGTCCCAGTGGGCAGTGACGGGAAAATGGGCCAGCAGTGAGTCCTGGCAGCAATGATGGCCAACAGCAGTAATGGCCAACAGCAGCTGGGGCTGTAGGAAAAGGGTCAGAGCCAGAGGTCGAGGGGAGTCATTATCCCCCTCTGCTCAGTACTTGTTAGACCACATCTAGACACTATATCCGTCTTCAGGCTCCCCAGTACAAGACATCAATAAACTGGATGAAATTCGGGGGAGGCCACTGGGATGGTGGGGCTGGAGCATGGGCCCTGTGAGGAGAGATGGAGGAGCTGGGCTTGTTCAGCCTGGAGCAGAGATGGCAGGGCAGGGGGACACACATCTTACAGCAGCCCCCAGTTCCCATGGGGAGGTTGTTGAGTAGATGGTGCAGGGTGGAAGGACAAGAGACAACAGGTGTACGTTGAAAGGAGATAGGCTCAGCCTGGAACATGGTTCCTCCATGAGGACAATCCTGTGGCAGCACAGGCTGCCCAGAGGGGTGTTGCAGTCTCCATCCTCAGAGATTTTCAAGCCCCAGTTGGATGAAGCCCTGAGCAGCCTGGTCTGACCTCAGAGCTGACCTGCTGTGAGCAGGAGGTTGGAGCAGAGACCCCTGAGGTCTCTCCCAGCCTGAGCAATCCTGTGATGAAACCATGAGATTTCTGTCCCTTTCAAATGTCACTGAGATGTTAGAAAGATCAAAAGTCAGCCAGGGACACAAGTGACCTAATGGGTGGACAGGGATGTAGACAGAAACACCACCTTAGCTCATAAATCATGTTTTCTTCTGAAACCAGGCTGAGGGACTGTGTCACTGAACTCAGGTGCCACATATACTGGCTGTAGTAATTAAGGTTGAGAGACAGTGGTGAGTCCCACATGATGTCACACTGCACGTGGCAGCCAGGCTCCGCTCAGGCCTAATTCCAGCTGAGGTGATTTTTCACATGGAGCTCATCACCCTGTAAAAATACTCATCAGCTACTACCCTTGGCCCCCACATGGAGTATCAGCTCCTCAAGGCAAGTTGTAGGCATACGGCTCGCTAAGGGGTTAACACATCTACTGTAAAGATATACTGCTGATGGAAACTATTTGTGCACTACAGACTCATGAGCTGGCAGGAGAGGAGAAGGCAGCAGTATGTGTGTCGCGAAGGCGGCACATCATGACTGATGGCGGCTGGGTGCCCTGTTTTAAATCTATGACATCATTTGCACTCTGGCAACAATACTAAGATGCTGGATTTTTTTTTTTTTAAATAAACTGTCTATGGTATTCACAGTAAGTAAAAAATAAACACAAGACCAAGACCTTTTTTCATTTGAATGCACAATTTATTTCAAACAAATAATTTTAAATATGAAAATCCTATAAATTATGAACATTTATAGAATATACTTTTGCCAAAGAAAAAGCTTGGAAGAGAGGTGTCAAAATCTGGCTCTGCTAAACTGAATGGAGCTGATGGCTATTCAAAGGGTATTTCTCCCTATGCTTTCATGCAATTGTGTTTTACAGAATTCCATTATTCAGCGCAAATATTAGTTTACAGATCCTCAATAGGCTGCATTCTTCCACAACTGATTTATGACCAAAAGCAGTTTCTATTTGCTTACATTAAACCAAGCCACCTGATTTCCTGTACATATGTAGCATAGCAAATGAAAAAAAATTATGCCAACAAGGTGAGAACTTAATCCAACTTCCGTTGAATAGGTAGAAAATATTTACAAATAAAAATGTTCTAAACCATCCACTTCTAGGCAAGAAAAACTGTATGACCATTTACTTCCCTTGTAAACATTTATTTTATTATTCTTTACCTTATGTAGGCTGGTATTCTCAATTTTTGGATTAACATATTTTGCAGAAATGTACAGCAGCTGAAATTCCTCACTGATACTCAACTGGTTTTATTGTCTTACTCTATGGAATCCTGTATGTACAGAATAGAGTCGTTCACAGGAAAACCTAATGTCTCCTTAGAATATCACCTTTTACAAGACTGCAATTACACGGTAGTAATTTCCTTCCAGCATTGCATATGTCAGCGTATGTTTAAGTCCTTCCAAAACAAGCATGTCGTAGAGATCAATTCTGACTATAAATACAGTTTATATTAGTCCTTCTATGTACAACAAAAGACAAATTACTGCTGTATAAAGTAATAATACTTATGTATCAGTACAGATTTGAACTACAGACCCACTTCTTTAACGAAGTTTACAGTACAAAAAAATAAGGATACCAGTTTACTATAATATTTTCATCTTTTAGTTTCTTGTGGAGTAGTCAGTGATACAAGCATTGCTTGCTTTGTGTAAAATATATTATTTTAAAATATCAGTATACTGTCCTTCCAGTTACAAAAATATAATTATGTCCTACACAAATTTTATTGAATTAAAAAGTTTATCAAAAATACAGATCATCATTTTAGACCATAGTGAAATTAGAAATAAAGTAGAAGTAAATGTATAATTATTTAAAAAAACCCCTATCTTCTGGCTCAGTGAGCCACTTCTGATTTTGAATATAAAGAGATCAAAGCTTAGTTAGAAATTTAATGGCCAGGGCTGAGTTTTGGCTACTGAGTAATAATACTACGTTATTAGCATGGCTGAAGAAGAGCCACTGGAAACTGTTTACAGCCATTCAGTTCAAAGGATAAAAAGTACCATGGTGACAGCGGGAATGGTTGAAAAATACCCAGAAGAGACAGTAATTTAGCAAAAGGCAAAGAGCATTTCTTACTTATTTCGTATGTAAAAACCTGCCAGTCTGCATGGTGCAGTCATGACCTGGCGATGCGTCCTCTCGAGTGGCTTCGGGTGGTGCTGCCCGGCTGCAGGTGCCTCAGCCCGGGACCAGCCCAGCGCAGAGGCAGCGGAACTGAGGGATGTAACACGTTGTATTGGTTACAGTTGTCTTCCCACTATTAGGACAACTTAAGATTCAATCTATGAGGTTTATATAGGAAATAAATAGGGTAAATCTTTCTGCATTTTGCATGGTTTAAAGTGTTGGATTATCAATTCAAATGAACCTGTTCCTAAGTCAACAGCAGAAATCTGGCCGTTCATCTCAACGGTAACCAAAGCTGTGCTGGTTGTGAATCTGCCATGTCTGAAAAGCAGATTTCCATGCTCAGCTGTGTTTCTTAACATCCTCAGGAATTTCGGTGAGTTTTCCAGGGCTCTGCCCTTAGCCGAGGTGTTTCCTGTGCAACTTCTGCAACTCACATTTGCTCTTGCAAGTGCTGAGGAGAAAAATCCCGGTGTGGAATCCACCTCAACTGCACGGCAGAACAAACGCCACCAGGGACATTGCTGCAATGCTTCCCAGGAATGCAGAAAAAGAATATTCATACAGAATATGCTGTAAAAATTAAACAGGTTTTGGTGTGTGTGGGTGTTTGCTGGGTGGGATGGATTGGCATTATTGTGCTTGATCTGGTAAATGAGGAAAATTAGAGAGACTTTAATTTATCAGCCAAGTAACCTCTTGGTTTTCAGTTAAGCCTTGTAGGAAAATGTAGCTCAAGCTAGAATTTATCCATTGCAGCTGTGTAGCTGGCAGAAACCTAAGCCACTATTTGCTGACTCAGAGGAAAGCCATCTCTGGCGTTACACTGCCCAAAGTTCCACAGCTGTTTACCTTCTATTGTTTTGGGAAGGGATTTTTTTACATTTTTTTCCCCTGCTAGGGAAAACAACAATGGTGACACCACATATTTAATACAAAAGTCAAATGCTCAGCTAACATAACATACTAACTTATTTAAAACTAATGAAGTTGTACCAGTTTATAGCAGCACAAGAACTGGCTCAAATTATTATACATATTTTTGTCTGTCCAGAAACTACCAAGCTATCGTGCCACTGTCTTTGTACCACAGGCCCTTCATAGCTCCGATTCTTTATCTATCTCATCTAGGTAGTATTCATCATCAGTGGTGGTATCACTGTCTGAATCCGAGTAAGCTGCTGGGTCTTCCTGATAGATATCGGTCGGCTCTCGGGGGGATGAAGCAGTCGATGACATTTTGCTCCCAGCAGAACTTGAGCTCAAAAGCTCGGCTCTGTTTATAGAAGGGGGGTCTCCATCTCTGAGAGCACTGGGGTTATTAAGAAGACAAGGTCTCCATAATCGCCCTTCTGTGAGCGACCTCTTGATATTTTCCAGGAAAGCCAACTGTTGTTCTTTGCCAAATATACCAAATTCAACAGAAGGATACATCAGATTTCTTGTGCTGCAACATTTTTCATCGTCTGATGCCCAGTTTTCATTTTCATCATAAGACAACAGCTCTGAATAAGATTTAAATCTCTTCCCATGTATGCCATCTTTTGGCAGAATACTGCTTCCTGAGGCAAAGGTCTCATACGAATTTCGAGCACAAATACTCTCAGAAAGGTGACGCTCACGCTGACTTTTGGCATGACTCTTGCACAACCGATAGCTATGCAAGTTAGCATTTTTTAAGCTAGCAGACCGAGAGGTATTTTGACACTGACCAAGCAGTGTCTGAGAAGTCAAGTTTTGCTCTGGACATATGTCTGCCTGCAAGCAGCTATTTACATATGTGTTTGAGTTTTTGTCAGTTAAAAGTGGCAAGGGAGGACTGCAGGCATGACTGCTAGCTCTTCTTTTCTCATCATCCAGTAGGTCTGATGCAGTAGCACTGGGAGAGATGGGCTGGCTTCTGTTTTCTAACCTGAGATCAAGTGTTTGGGAATTCTTATTTCTTGTGGCTACTGCTTTATGAGGAAATAGGGTTGTAAGACTTGGCCTATTTTCCACTTTCATTGTAGTTTTTTTGGGACTGATGGCTTCCTTCTGGGTGTATGAGCTTGTAAAAGACCACCAATTGCTGTTATTAACCAGCAAAGAAGGATCACTCTGATTTTCAGTCATCTTATTCTCAGCTGTTCTTGGTCTCGGCATATTCTTATCAGGGTCCGGACTGTGATTCTGATTTTCATTGTCCAACTGCACGAATGGCTGTTGGGAGTCTGTTGAAATCAATGAGTCAAGGGACATGTCGACCTCTAAAGAAGTGGCACTTCCATCATTCTGTGAAAAAATGTTACTTATGTGCGGTCTGGGGGGTAAATTTTTACTTGAAAATTTTCGACTTGTTTTGTAAACTGCTGCCAGTTTATTTTTAATTGAAGGTCTGTTTTTCCTTTTTTCTATATCTTTGACTTTGTCTCTTGTGCAGTCAGAGAGAAGCTTGTCCTCATCTTCTGCTCTCTGTGTTAACTTCTGATCTTGTGTAACCCTGAGGACTTTATCTTTACAGTTAATGTTCAGGTTGCCTTCACTGTGCCTCTCTGATTCCTGCAAACCACTATAATCTCTACCCATCCAAGTACTCTGTGAGTTTTGATCTTTGTTAAGTTTTAAATTCTTTGACTCATCTGTATCTGTGCTAACCACTTCGTCTAGCTGAAGTAATGGATCAGCACCGGAAGCTGTGCTTACCTCAGATGCTTTGTTCTGCAACTCTGAAAGCACTTTGCTACAAGATTTTAAATCATTTGCATTTTTTCTTGAACTGTCAGCCCTTAATTGCAGTCCACTACATTTATTATTATACAGAGGGGTGGTTTGGTATAGGAAATTTAGTTTAACTTCGGTACTATCCCTGTACGTGTCTTCCACAGGAGGGAGCGACACATCGGCATGCTCTCTGTTACTGTTTGTTCCAAGGGAACTCTTCTCTCCTGGGTGCAGGAGTAAACTGTTTGGATTTTTATCGGTGTTCACTTTAGGGGGCTGACAGCAGTTCTCAGAGTTTCCCTTCTGTATACTATTTTTATTTGTTGAAGTAGAATACAAAGGATTCTCTGAATGTCTGCCTGGCTTGGGAGGAGTTGATAAATTGGACTTTAGCGGTGTGACTGTTTGTAAAATTTCCTTCTTTTCTTTTAGACGTATTTCTGTATTTTGGCTGCTTGAAGCATCAGAAATGACCTTACCTGACTTAGCCACTATTGCAGTGGATTGTGGACCATGAAAAGAAATTGCTTTTGTCACCATGTCAGAAAGCACATTTTCTGCTAATGAAAGATCTGCTGAACTATTTTTCCTGCTATGTACCATACTCACTGACTTTGAAGTACGTATCTTCTCAGAGGTAGGAGGTAAGTGGGAATTCTCTTCTTCACTATCAACAGCAGTTCCTAAGTTCTGAGGTGTGACCAGAGCTGAAGATACTTGGTCAGAAGAATATGAAGGCACCTCTTTTTCCAAAGTACTGGGGAAAAAAACATTTGCTAAACTCACATGACCTTCGTTTTTCTTGCTTCGTATTCTTGGTGACTGAATGTTATCTTTGGGACAAGGTAAATCTGCATCCTCTGGATTATCTCTGAAGAGGTTACAAAATGTTCTTGAATGCCTCCGTGGTAATGTGTAATAAATTGAAACTAGTTCATGATACTTGACATGATCTTCATCAACACAAACTGTAAATGTGCTTGTAGTTTTATATTTCTGCAAAAAATTTCCCCTCTCCTTACAATCTGAAAACACAGAGGATTCTCTTCTGCTTAGATGTTTACCTCTATCTGTCAGTTCAACTGATGTACTACTACTTACTGAATCATTAGGACTTTTGGTTAAAGGACTGGGGTAATCTTTTTCTTTGTTACTTGTAGCAGCATTTAATGATGCTGATGTTAAAAAGGAATGTTTTGCATCTAAACAAGACGTATCTCTTTGATTAGAACAAAAGGCATCAGCTCTATACGGAGTTTCAGACCTTAAGCAATCATATGTTGTTCTACTTTCTCTAGGTAAAGAGATGGGTGTATCTGACATAATACTACCAGCAATGCTAGCTGATTTTCTAGGCAAAGTGTAATAAATAACAAGTGGGTCAGGAGATTTGAGGCTGTTTCTGCTAGGGGAGCCAGTAATGCTGCAGCTACTGGTATGTCTCAGCAAGCTGTCTTGCTTGTGAAGTCTTTCAATACAAGCTGAATTATTCCTTATTTTTCCATTTTCTTTTTCTAGGCAAAAATAACTTAAACTATGTTCAGAGGTCTTGGGGCCTCCGTCAAAGCTATGCATATAAATATTTCCAGAATTTCCATTTTCTGGAGAGCTAGTAGTGATTTGTCCATTACAGTCCTTAGTAACTAAAGTGCTTGTATTTTGTAATGCTTTCTGTGAAATCTTTTTGGTAACACCTATTCTGCTTGCTGGAGCTGTTTTTCCACCTTCTGCTTGAGATTCAGTGCAATTTACTGAAGAGCTAGTTAACGTTCCTAAACGTTTAGAACTGTCTTTATGAGAAAGTGCTTGCAGAGAGCTTTGTGAGGAGCTAGATGAACATTCAGGAGGACAGGACAATGTGCCTTGGCAGTTTGCTAATTTTTCAGTGGATGGAGCAGAAGCAACATTCAGCAGTGAAGACTGTCTCTTTGGCGTAGCTTGAGTACCGGCTTCTGCACTCCGATTATCCTGTTTGATGCTCTCTCTTTTTGCTGCATAATGCAGATTATGTTCCCATTCTTTCTGATTTGAAAGAAAAGGTTCCTTCCTGCTCTCATCAGCTGGCAAAATACAGGGAGGCTGGTTGAACACACTGTTGGGGAGGCAATTGTTTTCCTTCATTTGTACATTTCTTTTATCACCATTTGATGTATACATTTTTGCAATATCTTCTCTGGCAGTAACTTGGGTTTGTCTCTTTGATCCAAGTGTGCTAAAGAGAGATGCATCACTTTGCAACATGGCAGAAGCAGGGCTGTTAGAGGAAAAACTCTGGGCATTGATATAGTTCATATCTGCCTGTTGAGAAACTGACTGTAATGGCACGTCTTCATCAGGCAGTTTCATATCTTTGACTTTTTCTAGTTGTGTAAAGTCTGCCTTAGTACTTCTTTGGGTAACGATGACTGAATTCTTGTTCAGTCCTATAGGTTTGGTTTGGTCCTTCAAATTAGGAAAGATGGACTCATCAGTTCTGATACTAGATGAAGAGACTGAAGAGTTACAACTTAGCCAAGGCTGACAGCCCTCAATGAATTCTGAAAAAGTTCTATTTGCACTTCTTGTTATCCTTTTGATATTTGTATTTTCTGGAGAATACACATGAAAATCGTTCTGCAGGTGCTGTGAACCAAACTTGGCGTTCTTTGTATGTGCCCACTGCTGGTCATTTAAATTAGCCATGATCACTTCAAAGCTGGCATCAGGGGAAATAAACACTTTATCGTTGTAGTACTGAGGAATATCAGCCCAAGAAGGATAGCTGTCTTTTTTTCCATACAGAAACTGTTTCTGGTTTGCATACAATTTGCCATGAGAAGAAGTATCTCTACAGTAGGATCTAGAGAGATTATTTTCTGATTTGTATAATGGATAATTTTCCCAGTTATCAAAGGGCAATGGGGAAGTAGCTTTGTCAGGGCAACTAACTCCACTAAAGCAATTACTACTTGAAATAGATCTTCTGTAGTGGTGTTTTGAGTGGTAGCATGCATATTTCTTGGTTTCCTGCAAAGAGCTAGGATATCTACCATGGTCTGTAGCATGAAACTCCATTAGTGATTGGGTTCTAAACATTTTTTCTTGAGTTGGTGTTTGTCCAGGAGAGTCTGGTGTGTTGTTCCATACAATAGAAGACAGAGGAATTCTCTTTGGGTTCTGTCGACCAAACCTTGGTACAAAACCATTGTTGCTCTCCCTTGACAATGTATGTTGTAAACTAGATGCTGATAGCTGGTCAGAAGATACTGATGATGGACATCTCCGAAGGGAACACACAGAGTAACTTCTGCCAGCTGTTTCCCTGTTCATACAACTCTTGTGCCTAAATCCACTGTTCTGTGTTACAGAAGGAGGATATAAGCTACCTTCTGAAGACCGTCCAAAAGAAACGGAAGACAGTCTGCTGCTTAGTCCGTGAGGATTTCCATCAACTGGATCACTGTATTTGTAATCTTCTTGAAAGGCTGCCTGGTGCCAGTTTATATATGCATTGTATAATTTCCTTGGTCTGATGAAAATCTTGTGTTCATCTTTGGCTCTGATTGTTCTCAGTCCATCTGGGAAAAATGTGCTAGGCGTGTCACTCCAGTCAGTTCTGTGTTGCCCTCTACTAGCAGTCTGCCTCTTTGAAGTAGGGAATGCACTACTGTATTGCACATTTGATGTAGTGATAGTAGAAGCTGTCCTGTCCAATGGATCTTGGGCTTGTTCCTGGGCCAGCTGGTCATCCAGATCATTTAGAACTGCACAGGGAAAAAAAGACACTTGGTTTTGTTTTCTTTAATAATCTTCTGACTATTTATGTTAAAAAGTTTCATGTACTACATTAATAATCAGAACTAGCTTTGAAAGGAATCAGCTTCTCAGCATTCAAAACCCTTCCCAAACCACATATTCTTCCTCCACAGCACCTTTCAGTGGTCACCCATTATGACTACAAGGAAAAAAAATGCGCTGTTCCATGACTGATCTTAAAATTGTTCTTTAAGGAAACATTAGTCTTTATGCTATGTAAAAGAAAACCAGAACAATTTGAAATCCGAATTCTTACTCGGGAGGGGGAGGTGGTTGTGTGGGTGGGGGTGAGGTGTGTGTGTGTGTGTGTGTGTGTGTGGGATGTAAGCAAAAAATCCCTGAAAAGAATTCATTAGAGTAACAAGCAAACACAGACCTTTCTGTGTGCGCACAAAGAACAGGTACAATGTAATTGTAAGAAAACACAGAATCCTGCAATCATCAAACAAGCATATTCAGTAGTCTGGCATGTCCACTGTTTGTTTCATTCAGAAAAGAAGTTCTCTACTAAACTGTAGTTTATTACTTTAAAATGAGCACTGAAAATGGCATTTTCTGGATAAAAAAGGGTAATGAAATAGTTAGGAACCTATGATCCATTCTAGCAACAAAGCTGTATTTATATATATATAGACAGTCTCACGAACTGGAATTAAACACTATACAGCTCAGTTAACCAAGATATTCAGTCATAAGACTAAGTGACAGCAATGTATTTAAAGTATTTTTATTGGCAAAAATAATTATGCCTTCACTAATTGTATTCTTTCTGTATTCTGAAAATAGCACATGTAAGATATAACCACAAATGGATATGGCTGGTTTGTTACACCATTTCCTAATCCATTTAAATAAAAAAGACTGACTGATCAGTCATTACAGGTCTGTGCTAATAGTACAGAATCATTAAGGAAGCATTACTAGGTATGTATAGTTGGAATAAAAAGTGATACTAGAGGTACTAAATTTTCCATTTGTCTAAGTTTCTCTTCAGCAGAGAAGAGAGAAGATTCCTTAGAAAGTCAGCTTAGTACAAGAAAAAAGACAAGTTGTTTCTGAGTCTTCCATTTAGAGGACATCAGCCAACCTATGTACAGTTTTTCTCTGTCAGTGGGCACAGTTATGACTGACACCCAAAAGTGATGACAGGCAGGTGGGTTTCTGAAGAACCACTGTCCACTATGCAGTGCTTTCTTCTTCCAGCACTCACCCACTGCTTCCCAACCATGTTTTCAGTCTGTGAGCTCTTGTAATTTTGGGTGGTAGAAAGCAATATTCATGGACAGGTTTTTGCATAGATCTAAGAAAGTTTATGGAAGAACATCTCTGTACACTTACAGCCTGGGTTTGATCTTGCCTTGCTTCCCAGCAGTGAGGAAAAAAACAGAACCAGCCAGCAACTTCTGACTGGTGCTATAAGGACTCCCAGAAAGCTAACTGAATGCCATAATGCCTCTTGCTTCTGTGGTTTGAGGCTTTACAATTCATAAAACTAGGCCTAGTAATTCATCATTATCAAAATTAGGCATGCAGGAAACTGGGATGAAATAATTCTTGCATAACTGTATGTCTGCATCTAAAGTGGATGCAATATGGGCCCCGTCAGAACCATCAGAGAGAAATGTACGCTTTTAAGGTGTGATTCTTCTGAAATGGATCAATATGAGATGAAATGCATTCTAAGAGTGACCAGTGACACATCCTGAGGTCAATGTCAGAGTAGACATTCTGCTACCAGATGAAAAGAGCAAAAAGTAGCCACTATGCTAGAAAGTAGTGAGCCATATCTTTGCAGCCTATGCTTTTGCAGAAAATTCTCTGAAACCAGTTCACAACTGTGAATAATACCAGAACAAAGTAAAGACCCACACTTACCACTGAAAAACTCCTTCTCTAGCTGTTCATTCCATTCCTGTGTACTTTTCTCCATCATTTCATCTTGGTTTGCATCAAAAGAATGACCACTTGTTTCAGTTGACATTGGGGAATTACACATTTCAGCCTGTTAAAAATTGTAAGGCAACATGACTTTAGTTCTACATGTAGGTTCAAATCATGTTTCACATGTCACATCGCAAATCGGGTCACAAGTCACAGAGGTCAGTAAAGTCTTTGTAGGTCCATTAAATATTATTAAAATATACAACTGGGGATTACAAAATTGCATGCATTTTAGAGACTTTTACACATGTAATAAGGAGATTTGCTCATCTTGTCCCCATACTGTAGCATGTTTTGGATAGATGAGTTATAATCACCTTATAATATGAGGCATAGTTTACTTCTTTTCCCATACGCATCCTTATTGCATTGTATCTCTTAATTTAGTTTTTCCTAATCACTTTGTCCTTGAACAGCACATTTTAAAATTCACACATTGACCTCCCAATAGAGATTTCATAATTAAACACCACAGTCAATTTTTCATATTGCAGGACTACTCTTTGCGGAGCTGTGACAAATTACCGTAGCAGTGGGGAAAATGTCATCCTATTCCTCATGTGAGTTTAGTTAACATGTTAAGCTGGAGTGCTTCCTATCCCATCCATATTTCCCTCAGCTCACAGCCTCAGACGGTAGAAATGCAAACAACTGCTGAACTGCTGATTTATTTCAGTTGAGACTCTTCCTCCCTTTTTTTAAATAAAAATCCTTACTATGTTTTAGTTCTCAATATTTATTGTAATATTTTACTTTTGTAGGTATGAAAGTCTATTTTTATAATAGGCAGGGTTCTCTGATAAGATCTCTGTTCAGTCGTACATTAATATGGATTATCCCTTCGTTTTTGAAATACGAGAGAAGGGAGGTGTCTAATTTACCTCCTCTATATGTTTGATTATATACTGTATATCTTCTTAGTCCTCTCTGTGGTTATACCACACAATTGAAGAGGAGGAAAGACATGTTAGTAATACAGGGCAATAAAGTAATTAAAATAGCAAATATCATCCTTGGAGGAAATCTGTTTATGTCAACAGCATGCACTTAAATTACATCAGAAATAAACCTGTTGTTTCATCCTTAAATTGAGCTTGTGCTTATAAAATGGAACATTGAGCCAAAAAATATTTTCCTACTGTCAAAGTTTACATTTACACGGTAATTCTGTGCATGGCAATGTTGCAGGAGAGGCTCTAGCTTAGTGCCTACCCAAGCCATCAACTCTAATTCACCCTTGTGCAAATGAAAAGTAACAAAGTAAATACACTAGATTATTTATTTAGTGTGAGTTTTGACCTATTTGCAGGTTGGTTACAGTTGCCAAAATATGTGAGGGTTTGGGGCTAGGAAATTATCCCTGCAAGTATTTGGTCATTAAGGGAGAACTGAAACCTGATCAGAGCTAGACTTAGGGCTTACCTAGAAAAGCTTTGGACTTGTATAGTTAATAGGGCAAGCTCACCAGGTTCACAACACAGACATTTTACTCAGTGTTTAAATCAAGAACTCTTAAGAACACTATTTAAACAGGTGTTATATCAACAGCCTAAACAAAGGGGACTAGTTTTTGAAAAATCTGTTGTTTAAACATTGCTGGCAATAAAGTTGATAAGCTACTTACCGTTGCCATTTCTGCCACTTTCAGAGATGTGCTAGCAGAACTATCATATCTGTAGGCAGAAGGATTTAAATGTTGGCTTTGAAAAGGAACATGATGTAATTTTACCAGGTAGTAAATATCCAGCAGTTTCTCTCTAACAGCTATTGAGAAGCATCTGAAAAAAGACTGCTCTATGAAGAATCCCTCCACCTCCCCCAAAAAATCCTGCTAACAAAAAATGTTGGGGAAATGCACCATTTGGTTTGGCCTTGTCAGCTTGCAAATGTCATTAGCTGCACAGCCAAGATTGAACTTGACCTACTGATATCTCAATGTCTGCAACAGTAATAAAGTAATTGTTTCAATCCAGCATTACGATAAGATGATAATACTTCCTTTTCTAAACAACAATAATTTAGCAGGTACTACAAACAGCCGAAGTTAACTACTTGTAAATCTGTAAGTGGTTGGCATCTGCAATTTTATTGTTTTTCTCTTCTATTTCAGCCTGCTCAGTTGCAGAGCTGTGCTCTGCCCCCCACAACAGGCATCAGATTGTTTTCCATGTGAACTTTGGAACTTGCTGCTACTCAGTCAAAACAGCCTTTATTTACCAATTTTTAACATATAGTAGAAGGCTTGTCTGCTTTTCTAAGCTGTATAGGACTGCAAGGGCTTGGCAGAGAACCGGCCAGAGCGTCTGTGAATAATGCAGTGGTTAGAACAAGCTGAGAAGCCCTGAACATAAAAGGTATTCTGTTCTACGGGATGACTTGCAGACATACAAATACAAAATAAACTAAATAAACAAGAATAGGACTTGACTTCACTGAGTCTATTTGAGTCTGCAGATCCTTATTTTACAACTACGCAAACCCAGTTCCTTCAAACGCCCTGAAGGAAATGTTGCTCAGCTGTGTGTATTGCCAGTTCTTCTTTGTTTCAGAAACTGTTTTTTCCCAGGAAGTTAATCCTTGAGAGAAAGTGAAGTAGGGAAAGATGGTTCTGCTCAGTCCTGTTTGTTTCAAAGTCTTTTTGAACAACCTTGTTCTTAGGCTCTTAAAAAGTTCTTGTGCTCAGGTAGACTACTTTATTGTGCTTCAACAGCAAGTATAAACCGGCTTGTTGGCAGGTTCTTTGTGGCCCAGCCTTTCCTCCTGAAGTGCTTTGTCATTTGTTTGCAATGTGCTTGCAGGCAGGGAAGAACAGTTGAAAGGTGCAATTTGTTTTTGCTTCTGTAATTGTGAACTGTAAAACCAGGATTCCTCTCTGACATGGGGTCCAACTGAAACCAAAGGAAACAAGCCTGTTGACCTCAGTGGGCTTTCGATCTGGCCAGACAATTTGAATCCTAAATTTCTAATTTTTCCTTGTAGCACTGAATATGAACAGCCATTAATTCAGTGGGTTACCATTCCCTGTGACTGAAGTTTACAGAACCGGGACTCAAAGATGTATGTAGCTTTCCATTTAAACTGAAATGTTGGCTATTTTTTAATATTTCTACAACAAATTAAGAATGAAACTTATGTTTCAGAGTTTTTACAATGATTTCCTGCAAACCAAGTCAATGAAATCCTGTGGCTTAGCGAGCTATCTTAATTTTAATTATATGCATAACAAAAATGTAAAAGCTTTGTTAGAAGCTCCCTTCTTCAGCTTTACTGTGGAAAGCCGATCTACAGTTTTCCCCACTTGATGCTGTGCTTGGTGTTGCATTAATTGCTCCTTGCAATGAAGCTACATGAAGTAGACACGTTAGTTAGAAATGTCTTCTGATAGTCTAGGCAAATATTAAATTTTCATTTGCACTTCTGGCACTATTTTAAATTCCTCCATGTCTTTGTTGTCACTGTTCTGTCAGAAATAACTGGTCATTGCATCCTGCTTTATTTTCCTCCCTGCCAACTTATACAAAAGATGTTATTTAAACCTTTTCCCTATGCCAATCCCTCTGCTTCTCAAACTGCCTCATTATTTTTTCTGAACTCTTTTCCAGCATTTCAAAATTAAAGTTTTGCTTATTTCCAGAAAAATATTGCTTAATTTTAGGAAAAAGTAATTCAGTTTCTTTTTTGGTTAAGGATATTGAGCAATGTTTACATTATTTTGCACACACATGCACGCGCACATATACACATACTTGTAAACATTATCTATTATTCATAAACAGAAGTTAAATTACTGCTCATGTTCAGAATATTTGCCATCAGAAAGATACTATTCACTATGGAAAACAAGTTATATTTTAACATTTTCACTTATATACATATGTATCTTTTTTATGACATCCAAATGTAAGATTAAAAAATTACTCTACTTATTTCTGTCACTACTGGTAACAATAATATAAATCCATGAATTAAAATCTGCTGCAAATTAGTATTTTCACTGAGGCACCCGTCTTCCCCCGGCCATCTCCAAATTGTTTAATGTCAGAGCATAATCCGTTTTCTTCTATATTATTCTTATCAGTACTACATAAGAAGTCAGGTAAGCAACAAATACATAACTCAAATATGCTGAAAACACAATTAAACAGCATTTCTTCTCCAGCACAAATTACACTTACATATTAGAAAAGCATAAGGATGAATTCAAGAACAACGAACACCTTTGAACCAAAAGTGATCAAACATTTCACTACCTACAGTTACAAACCTTTTATTAGCATCTTCTGTGTCTCCACATAAGCATAGTCTTTTTTGCAGCTTCCATAATTTATTCTCACAGCAAAACACCACCGCAGCTGATGAAACTGTCTCTCCAGTACAGAAAGGACCCCCTAAACAGCCATTAATATTCAGCTATTTAAAAGCTTCTGCCAGTTAGGCTTACTTACAGGATTTACAGTGCTGCCTCCTATTGTATTTCACTAGCTCTCCAAAATAACTCTACCTGGTGAGAGGCAGATTATTTCAGTGCTTTGTCTGTGCATAAAGCAAACCACATGCCACGGCAACACCTAGAAGAGGGTGGGGGAAGTTTTCGACAGAGGCGTGACTACAAAATGTAGCAATCAGCTCAGTTACACGTCAGGATTGACTTGTTTATTTTTTCAAGCTGTGCTCGGTAAGAAATCAAAGGCATCTGAGCATGAGATACAATAGATTTTCTGTGGAAAAGCCAGATAAACACATATTAGAAAAGCTGATGCAATGAGTAGTCATGGTTTATTTTTTTTTTTTCCTTCTTAAATTAAGAAAGCATTTCAATGTTTAGATTCTGCAGCAAAGCCTACACTTTCGCTTGTGCATTGGCTACCTTATCGCGCACCAGGATAAAGCACACTTGAAATCTTATTCTTAGTTACACAAGTGCCCCTTTATTCTGCAGGGAGGGCTGCGGTCCGGTGTTGGTGTGCCCCAGCATAAGGGGCATGACCAATGTCAGATGACTTGTATGGAGCAGCTTAAAACCTTGCAATTTTTTTTTTCTATGCTGTGTTGCTATGTAGGAGAATTGTTACCAGTAACCATCCACGAAGCTAACCTCAGTCCTCTGTTCAAAGCTCTTAAATCTCCCTCTGCTTTGATACAAATACTCCACAATGGCAAGTTGCTGTGCTACAAAACCTATGTATCAGACTAGTCATCATTTCTTTAGAGGCTTGCATTCCCCATCATTGTTTATTATAGTTGTTCCTTGTCTGAGCGTCATGCCAGCTAGGTGCCCCAGGCATGGACCAGAATACCAGCCTGAGACTCACAAACAGAGAGAAAAATCACCTCTTTCTGCCAAAGATCTTGCAGCTTCATACTTAGATTTCACAGCACTGCGTAATGCACCTTTATCTATGATTGCCAGTCCCATGCATTACCCTAAGATGCACACAAAAATAATAGTATTTCACTTTGGTGTTGCTGACATACAGGGCCATACCGGACAAAAATTAGGAGAGAACAGTCAGCCTAACTAGCCTGTGCATAGCTGCCCTGTTCCCTCTGAACAACAGCTTTAACCCTGTGGATGGCAAGGGAGAAGGATGCTCTTCAAACAGCAGCTCCAGCGCTGCATACGAAACCACCTTTGGTTCAGATCCAATCGAAACCAAAGCCCTGACGAAGCACAGAAGACAAAAACCCCGGAGAGCCGCCCTGTTTGCCTGGCTAAAGCTAAAGCTGCAGCCCTGCGTCTAAGCCGCCTCTGGGCTAGAAATGGTGGGAACTGATGGAGCAGAGCTGCCTGGGGCCGGACTCTCTGCCATGGCCTGGGAAAGCTATGCTTTTCTGTTATATCACAGCCATAGGGCACCAGATCCCCATGTGCCTTACACTGCATCCTCTAGAGAGGGAATTAAATAGGATGCAGCTGCTGCTAAGTCTAGGTGCTTTCATACACTTAGAGCCTTTATGCAAAACCTGAGTAAAATAGATTTAGCCAAGAGACTTTACCTATTACTTGCCACTTAGTCCTCATTCTTCTGACACAGAACAGATAATCTTTCATTACATGACCAAGTAAAATCCCAGTCTTCCCAGTGAGGTGAAAGGCAAGAGACTGGAAAAATAATTTTAACAAAGTTTTCTAAATAAAACATGGAACAATTCATTAAAGATGGAAAGAATGTATGTAGCTCACCGTGGTTGCTTCTGAGTCTGGTTTTTCCTTGATTTTCTAAAGGAGAAAAGCCAAGCAAAAGGTGATCTGAACCCCAGAAAGGAAGCTGAAGTGTTCTTTTGTGCTTGAGGATTTGTGCGGGATGACATTTTTAGTTCTTTATAATCTAAAAATATTATAAAAATTTGATTTGTTTCAAGTTCTTACTAAATACAGTACTAAAATATACATAAAAAGTTATGTCTTCATAAATAATTTTCTTTTGCTTACCTTTTATGCCAGGAGAATCCAGTTTTATTGATATTTTTGGACAGACTATGTGACATGCTGTTTTATAATGACTAACTAGAAGACTAAGAGAAAGATAAACAGGTCTAAAATTTCAAAAAGTATTATTGTTTTTGGGTGACACACTTGAGATAAATGAGGCTGATTTTCAGAAAGCAATCAACACTCAACCATTTGAAAACCAGAACTGTTTTAAAATATAGGCAAATTAGACATTTGAAAATTGAGGCACCCACAATCATTAGTCACTTTCTTTTCACCCTTGTAAGAAATATGACAACTCTGAATATACAATGGTTTAATAGATTGTAATGTAACTACATAACAGTAATTCAGACTAAGGTGTCTTCTGTATCATACAATTCTTCAGGATTCCTGTGGTCGCTGGAGTACATTTTTTTTTGCTACAAATGGCATATCAGAACTGTATTTTAAATGCAAAATATCATGAATGATTTCTTTAGGAAGATTATGATTTAATTTTTTCAAACGGAACAGTCTGCCTGTGAAAGCAGCTGGCAACTGGTATGAAGGAGAGGATGAGTATTGCTCACAGATTAGGGAAAGAAACTGCAGGGTCTGCTATTAAAACATGCCACAGGAAACCGGAGGACATAAGGAAACAAGACTTCACTCAGGAATAAGGTGCTGTATCTATTTTTTTCCATTTAAAACATTACATGCCTGAAACAATACAACAATTATCCAATGACTAGGAGAAAGGAAAACCAGAAACAAGAGCAAAGTGTCACCGATAACAACAGCAAGGGGCAATATTTTGGACCTAGTCCAAAATGAAATGAATAAGTCATGTCATGGGATTTAAATCCCATGGCTTTCACTTCAGTGACAATCACTGTGTATTATGAAATGCTGCATCCTTTACCCCTTTCAGAGCCTAACCTTTTGGTAGCATTGTTTGACTTGACAATGAAGGTGGCATCAGGAGAGTCCTAATAGCACTCTTTGTAGCCAGGATGGTCTAGGGATGTAGACAGAGCAAGGCTTGCAGGTAGAAGTAGTACCTTTTATTAAACCAACTTATACAGTTGGAAATATCAGACAAGCCTCTGAGGCACACAACCCCTTCTTCAGATCTGAAATAGAAACAGCAGCTTTCAAAGTTAAATACCAGAGAACAATTACACAGAGTTTAGTTAGCTAATGCATCAATTAGACCATCTCTGAAAGACAAAAAATAGTAGATAGCTGTGGACTAGAGGAGATGTTGGGGAAAAACACCCAGGAAAGACAGAGGTCTGTTCTGTGTAGGTGAGTAGTTTCAGGAAAATTTTTAGGGTTTCACTTTTCTTTTGAAATACATGACTGCTTCCAGTTGCTATGAAGCACAAATAGGAAGAGCTCAATGAAAAACATGCAGAAATGCAAATGGAATAAAAGCATATATTATGCATGAAAACTATCCAAGGATGGAAGATGAAAAGGACAGTACAGAATACCATGCTTGGTATGGAGACATCAGGTTTCTTGTGCATGTTCATTTTGTATGGGCAACAGAACCTGTGAAATGAGATCACCAGAAGTTGCTTCCTGGTCAGCCCAACTTTCCAGGCTTTGTCATCCTCCCTAATAATCATGCCTTTAGCCCAGTGTTACCAGGAACAGTTTTCCACTGATACAGTCAAATCTCTCTCACTCAAACCCAGATTACCTCCTTATTCCAAATGTCATTTAGGTGCTTCTAGTTTCTTTAAGAAAACTAGGTAAAACTGAAACAGTTTAGGTACATACAAAGTAAAGATTACATCTTTGATTGGGAAACCACCACTATATTTACTATAATTACAGTAACTTCATCTTGATTAAGAAAGAAATTTTTTTATAGTAAGGATAATCAATCACTGGAACAACCTCCCCAGGGACATGGTGGAGTCCCCATCACTGGAGGTTTACAAGATGCGAATGGGCATGGTGCTACACAATCTCATCCATGCTCCCTTTCCCATGAAAGGCTGGACCAGATGATCTTCCAAGGTCCTTCCATCCTGGGCTGTTCTATGATTCTAGCTATGGGTTAAGAATATGAGGGATTTTCTGTTGTGACTCCCAACTCTGCTTTTAACAGAATCTGCTTAAAGAAATATAGTCATTTTGAAAATATATCTTTGGTAAAATTTTGACATGAGAAGAAACTCAATGCAATTTCAGAAACTCCTTGGCTATTACACTCTGAAATGCTCTAAGATATTGCTTTGGTGACCATTATCATATAGATAAGGAAATGGAAAAGTGCAACTCACTGGTGGTTTTGCTCTTCCTTAGCTGATGCTCTAATGGTATTTTTAGCATTCCATTGACATCAACGCAATTCTGAAATTTTTTTCTTTGTATTTCTTCAAACCATTCTCCAGTCACGCCCTGCAGCCCTGTTTCAGACTTCTTTCTCTTCAGAAGTTTGCTAGAAAGGAAAAAAAACAGTAATTATTTTTAAGCCATTAATCGAGCCATATTACAGGCATATCATTAGGACTTCTCCTGTTGTTCATTTAAGTATTTACAGAATATTTCTACATATAATGACTTTTTAAAAGATACAATGGGACATGATGCATTCACAGCAATCACATAAAAGTTCTAGTGACAGCAGAATTCTCCAGCTTAACAATGAGATTATATGACCAGGTTAAGTGGACAACTCATATCCTTGCATTATTCTCTACCTCAAAGAAGTGCACCCTTCTTCCTTGCAAAAATGAGGTAATAATTCATAAGCATTATAAAACTAATTGAATGTAAGATTAAGTTCAGCCAGCAACTGAATTAGAATAAATAATGCTCTAACAAAGCAATTCTTAAAATATTTATTCACTCATTCAAGCAGAAGTAGTAACAAGATTATTCTGATTTTCAAGAGGAAGCTCACTGAGGCCCTGACAGCAAGGCGCCCACCACACATTTTCAGTGTAAAGGAGAATAATAAATTGTGAATTCAGCTAGTAGGTATTCATGCAACACGTTCAACAAGTTTATTGCATTTTCCTCTTTCCTTGCTGCATAGTGATTCTGCCTGTGTTTAATATGTATGGAAGCAACTAATAATGAATAGAATGTTCTGCCACGCAGAGGCGAAGCCTGAACAAGCTACACACATGTGGCTGCAACTGAAGAAGCTGTTTAGTAGCAAGTTCAGGTTTTAGACCAAGAGGTCACAGGAATTAGCTGTTTATCTGGACATAAAAGAAGAAGGTACAGTTACAAAGGAGTCGGAATAGTGCAACGGACATGCAAAGTTACTTGTTTTCAAACTACATTACACAAGTGCCTAACATACAGATGCAAACGCAGCAAATCCACATCCCGACTGATTCTGATGGCAACAGAACAAGACTTCATGCACAGCCTGGAGATGTAATACCAATGTTTTAGCAAGGCTTTAATGTAAATCTTCCACCTTAATCAGTGGTAAAGCCCATGTCTAGAAATACAGGTGCTCTCAGAGAACATACATTATTTCAGTTATCTATTTAAATGAAAACTCATCTTCTCTGAGACAACATTACTTCACAAAACAAACTCAAAATTAAATATCTAGTCTGGAAGTGGATGTATTTCCATCTGGAATTGATACAAGGCATATCGTCCCTACTAGCACCTATTATTCATCTGTGGCATCTGAAGAATAGGAGGGCAAGAGAGAGACATTATTGGTAAATGAGTGAATATTTCCCTTGAAGAAGATTACACAGACACATGCATAAGTACTAGCCATTTGAAATAAACTTATTACAAAGGCAAAAATGTTAATCATCACAGATATTACTGCGCCGTGGGAGTGACTAAACACCGTAAACGCCATCTGCAGCGTGGAAAACAGCCTAGCAGTAATGTGAAACAGGAGGCGGCGATGAACAAAGTGCTCTCAAGCGCCAACTTCATGACCTCACTCCTGTGGCCTTAGCAAAGGGGATCCAAGATACGAGGAGGAGTAAAAGCACGCGGAACCAGGCGTGAGGTATTTTGGGAGTGGCCGCAGTCACTGCGATTGCCCGGGAAACAAGCCCACAGCAGTTCTGCTGAAGTCCCGAAAGCAGAGACCATCTCTCAGAATCCATCCCTGAGGTCTTCTAAAACCCAGCCAAAACGAATCGGTTTGTCCCCTCAGCGGAGAAACGATCGGATCTCC